ATATATTTCTTGCGTTTTCTTCGTTGTTGTTGTTAGGTGCTGTCGAGTTGACTCCAACTCATAGTGACCACGTGAACAACAGAACAAAACACTGGTTGTACGCCATGCTCACATCCTTGCTATACTTGAGCCCATTGTTGTACCCACTATGTCAGTCCATCTTGTTGACGATCTTCCTCTTTTTGTTTGACCCTCTGTTTTACCAAGCATGGTATCCTTCTTCAAGGAACGGTCCCTTCTGACCACATAACCAAAATAGATGGGACAAAGTCTGACCATTCTCACTTCTAAGGAACATTCTGGCTGTACTTCTTCCAGGACAGATTTGTTCATTTCTGGCAGTCCATGGTATTTTCAGTATTCTTCGCCAGCACCATAATTCAAAGGCATAGACTCTTTGATTTTCCTTATTCATTGTCCAGCTTTCACATGCATACGAGGCGATTAAAAATGCCACAGCCCGGGCTTTCTTAGTTACCTTAGTCTTCATAGTGACATCTTTGCTTCTTACCACTTTAAAGAGGTCTTTTGCAGCAGATTTGCCCAGTACAATTGACATCTGATTTCTTGATTACTGCTTCCTTGGGTGTTGATTGTAGATCCAAGTAAAATGAAATCCCTGACAGCATCTCTTTTTCCATTTATTGTGATGTTGCTTACTGGTCTAGTTGTGAGGATATATTTTTTTCTATATGTTGAGGTGTAATCCATAGTGAAAACTGTAGTGGTTGATCTTCGTCAGTAAGTACTTCAGGTCATCTTCATTTTCAGCAAGGAAGGTTGTGTCAACTGCATGTCGCAGGGTCTTTTTCTTTAGCTACTCATTATTTATAAGTAAGTTTCAGAGTTTCTTTTGAAATCTGTTTTGGTGTTTTCCTTCCTTCCTGTCTTTTTTTCAGGAAGAGTTATTTTGATTTTCTGTTGAACAGTATTTTACTTTGTATCTTCCTGAATTATAAGAAATAATACTGTTTCCTGTCTTTTTAATGACCTTTCACTTTCTTCTGTGATGTGCGTGATGTCTTCCCACAACACTTAGGGTCTTGGGTCATTAGTGTTCAGTGAGTCTTTTAGATTAGCCCACTTTATCTTTAAAAAACAAAAAAGGGGCTTTAAAAAGCTTAAATTTCCTTAAAAGATGCCAGTGCAGTTTCATTGCAGTTTTTTTTTTTTTTTTTTTTAATTGAAAAACACACTAATTTGCTTTGGCTGTATTTTTTATGGGTTACTTTGAGAATTTTTTAGTGTCTGGAACATTCTTCAGTTTTAGATACAGCCATTAAATTAATTTTGTAATAACAGAACTAATTCCCAGTCACCTCTGCACTTAGATTTACTTCTATCAATTTTCAGCTTTTAACCATATATACTTTATGTATATTGCTTTGCTAAGTATGTATAGTGTTAAACAGTTTTGAGGCTGATTGGAAATAGAATTCTGGGGAGTTCAGTAAGTTGTTTATATGTTTTTAGAATGGCTTCAGATATTTGCTGTTGGACTGATAGCTGACCTTTATGATCCTTTCTAACTCAGGTTTTATATCTTTATGAATTCATTCAGTTCACTTTTGTCCTGCAACTTTTTTTTTTTCTGAATTGTGATTTAGGTGAAAGTTTATAGAGCAAATTTGTTTTCCACACAACAGTTCATGCACATTTTGTTTAATGACACTGATTGCGATTCCCATAATGTTGTAGCTCCCTTCCCACTTCCTCTCTCTGGTTACCTTTCTCCTGTATCCTTCTTTCCTGTGCATTCCTGCTCTTTGAGTTATCTCCCTGTGCTAATACTGCCCTTCTGAGCTCACGTGTTGTTCTAAGGAGTGTACCTACCTAGTGTAAATGTTCACCTTATATGTCTGTTGTTTGGGTGGAAACCAAAGGAATGAGTTCAATTCCAGCCCCAAAGGGTGACTAAGGGCCAAAGTCTTGGGGGTTTCACCAGGCTTTATAAGACCATTTAACCTGCTTTTTTATGATTTTGAATTTTGTTCCATGTTTTTCTCCCACTCTATCCAGGCTCTCTTGTTGTGATCACTTTTTGAGTTGTTGGCAGTTATAGCCAGGCACCATCTTGTTCTTCTGGTCTCAAAGTCATGTAGGCTGAGATTTCCATGGTCCACTATTCCCTTGGACTAACTGTTTCCATGCATGTTTGGTTTTATTTATTCTTACTTGCTCCAGACAACGAGACACCAATTGTTCCATCTTAGATGTCTACTTTCTGAAGCTCTTTTTTGCTATACATTTATCTTTTATTTTCTCTAAGATGTTTTGGACTTTGTTTTGATTCTGTAGTGTTGCTCTAACAGAAAATACCGCAAATGGATGGCTTTAACAGTAGGAGTTTATTCTTTTACAGTTTTGGAGGCTAGAAGTTCAAGTTCAAAGTGCCAAGCTCTAGGAGCTGGGTGAAAGCCCTTGAACCTTGGGCTTCAGCTCTGCTTCTTGCGCCTGGCCCACAGAAGCTGGAGACTTCTCTTAACTCAGACAGCTGCTGGCTTCTGAGGATGACAAACCCAATGTCAAGAATAAAATGTCATAGTCCCAAAATTATCAAACCACACGGAAGGCCACTAGTTCAAGTCCATTAACAGTTCCGAGATCAACAGACAATATGGCAGGCCATTGGGATGAAGACTCAGCTACGTGCAGGGTCCAAGCCCGCCAGAAACCTCGAGGCCATTCCCAAAGCTTTTCCCTGTGTTCTGGAAGCACACCACATCCATAAGGCAGCTACTCAGTCCAGAAGATTCCACCATGGACTTGATTACCAGTCTCATCATGGGGAATAACTTCATCCAGTTCTCCAGCCACTCAAAACTAGGCCCAGCCAAGATGACACACAACTGTCACAGACTTGTATTATTGGTGGCATATGAGGTAATGCTAGGAGGCACTTACCAGTGAGTCAGAGCATTCCTTTTCAGTTGCATTCCTTCTGCTTTTGTCAAGGATAAAGTTGGCTGCTCATATGTGGCTAATAATTCACTAATGTTATCTTTTTCTTCCAGCAAAGATAGAAGACGTTATACTCAGAGCCTTGTGAAAGCAATAGTAGTTAATAAAAATTTAGTAATTTTGGTTTTCCTTTTTTAAAACTATTATGTCTATTTATGATATAATGAAAGGACATTTCCTTTAGGAATAAGTTTATTTAAGCAAAAATGATTATGGTTATGAGATTTTAAGTAGGAATATAATTACTTGAAGTGCTTACTGATGAAGGTCAAAAACTACTACATTCAGTATAGATTACACTTCCACATAAACAAAACAAAAATTCTCACAATAGGACAAATAAGCAACATCATGCTAAACAGAGAAAAGATTGAAGTCATCAAGGATTTCATTTTACTTGGGTCCGCAATCAGTGCCTGTGGAAGTAGCACTCAAGAAAGCAAATGACATACTGCATTGGGCAAATTTACAGAAGACCTTGAAAGTGTTGAAAAGCAAAGATACTATCTTGAGGTCAGGTGTGCCAGACCCAACCCATGATATTTTTAGTCACCTCATATGCTTCCAAAAGTTAGATAGTAAATAAGGAAGACTGAAGAAAAATTGGTGCCTTTGATTTACGGTGTTGGCGAAGAATATTGAATATGCTGTGGTCTGCCAGAAGAACAAATAAATCTATCTTGGAGGAAGTACAGCCAGAATGCTTCTTAGAAGTGAGGGTGGTGAGGCTTTGTCTCACATACTTTGGAGATGTTATCAGGAAGGAGCAGTCTGTGGAGGACCATCATATTTGGTAAAGCAGGTTTGGTGAAAAGGAAGTAGACCCTCAATGAAGTGAATTGATAACAGTGGCTCCAGCAAAGGTCTCAAACATAGCAGTGATTGTAAGAATGGTACAGGACCAGACAGTGTTTCTTTCGGTTGTACATAGGGTTGTTAAGAGTCATTCAACTCAATGGCACCTAAAAACAAGAATGATGTTGTTGTTGTTATGTGCCGTCGAGTTGGACCTGACTCATAGCGACCCCCCCCCTTAGATTTCTGAGGCAGTATCACTATGGAAGTAGATTGCCCCATCTTTCTTCTGAGGAGTGGCTGTGGATTTGAACTGTCAGCTTTCTGGTTAGCGGTCAAGTGCCTTAGCCACTATGCTACCAGAGCTCCCCAAAACAAGAATAGTTATGTAGAAAAGATGCAAATCTGGCAGAAACTCAAAAGAGTAGGTGAATGATTGAAGTATAGGAGTGATTCAGTACATTGACACTTTTTCTCCTATTATTTTTCTTTATATCATTTGTCTCCACTGTTAATTTTTTACTATGTATAATGTACATTCAGGTATGTTAACTTATCATTGCCAGGTTTCCATGGATCTCCATAGTGCCAGCACTGTTGTTCTTCGGGTCTTAACGCAGGCCACCAGTCAGGATACTGCTGTGTTAAAACCAGCTGAGGAACAGTTGAAACAGTGGGAGACACAGCCAGGTTTCTATTCAGTGTTGCTGGTAAGTTGTTCTAAAATAATTTACTTTTATTTTTAATAATGGAAACATGGTTATTTTAATTATTTTAAAGAAGTAATTATAGCTGAAACTGATCCAAGTGTTTAGCTGCCGTTGCCACTGCCATTAACTTATTAATTCAGGGCATCGCTTTTCTTTTGAGCATCTTTGAGAAATATTTGCAGATGGATGAATGAATAAATAAGCAGAGTATTGGTAACATCTGCTGTATTGATTTTAGCATGTTAATGCTGACCTTAGGAATATAAGTAGAATGCTTTCATGTCTTGTCTTCATCTGTACCCTGATTATTTTATGTTGCCAGAATTGTTCAGGCTGTTGCATGACAGCAGTTGGGTCAGGTGTACCATACTTAATGTAATTCATTTTTTTTTTTTTTTCTTTTCAACTTTTTGTTGTAATTTGGGTGAAAGTTTACAGAGCGAATAGGTTTTCCATTCAACAATTCATATACCTTTTGTTTCATGACATTGATTGGAATCCCCACAATGTGATAGCACTCTTCCCACTTACTCCATGTTTTCCGTTTACATTTGTCCTTCTTTTCTATCTCTTCCCACCTTCTGGGCTTTATTGCTGTCCTTTTGATCTTGTATGGTTGGTTGTTCTAATGAGTGTGTACCTTCCAAGTGTTCAGTTTATAGGCCAGTCTATTGTTTTGTTAAAAGTTGAGCTCCAGGGGTAATGCATTTTCTTTTAATACATTGTTTTTTTTACTTTTTCTTCTAAAAATTTCATTTTCTTGAGATAGCTGCTCTTTTCCTGGGTGTTATGGGAAATACTGTAGTAATTTAATTAATATACGCTTTTACCCTTTTGGTGAGTTCATGGCTTTTGGCAAATTAATCAAAATTATTTGTTCAGTGCCAGAATGAGCGAAAGAAGTTGTTCTATGATGAAGGACTCTCCCAATTCTTCTTTCCTTTGAAAAATTATGAGCTTTGATTAGTGTTTAAGATTTAGTTTCTGATGAGGACAGTAATGTTACCAATTAAGTAAAAAATTGACCCAGTATGTGTGACCCTAGTAAAAATTCAGAACAAAATTGTTTATCATATTTTGCAAAAAGGATAAAGCAATCAACATACATATTTTGATTTCTTAGCTAAAACAGTTTGAGTTATTTCTTCAATTTAGGAAGATAGTAATCATGACTGTAGTAGAATTATACTTGATGTTCTGAATATAACATGGAAATTGACTGTTTGGCTCAGTGTTAAAAAGATAAAAAGATTGATTTTTAAAGACACTAAATAAAATATTCACATGATTTCAGAATCATATTTACAAAATTTAGACACTGTAAATCATTAGACAATATTTTGAGTATCTTTACTCTCTATATGTCTATTTAAATGAATTTGCTCTATAATTAGCCTTGGGGTTTTTTCAGGCAAAAATGTAAAATACTTCAGAAATTTTAGTTTTAGTTATTCACTGGACCTTAAAACTAAAACAAAAAAATTCCAAAGTATGTTACATTTTTGACTGGGGAAAAAAAAAATAAAAACCCACAAAAAAAAAAACCCACAAGGCTAATTATAGAGCTTATTCATTTAAATAAACATAAGGAGAGTAAAGATACTCAGATATTGTCTAATGATTTACACTGTGCCCAAATTATGTAAATCAGGAGCTCTGGTGGCATAGTTCCTAAGGCATTTGACTACTAACCAGAGGGCTGGCGGTTCAAATCTACCAGCCACTTCTCGGAAGGAAGATTGGGCAATTTACTTCCATAGTGATGTTGTTGTTGTTGTTACATGCCATCGAGTCGGCCCCGACTCATAGCGACCCCTTCTTGGGTTTCTGAGGCAGTATCACTACGGAAGTAGATTGCCCCATCTTCCTTCTGAGGAGTGGCTGGTGGGTTTGAACCGCCAGCCTTCTGGTTAGCAGTCAAGTGCCTTAGCAACTACGCTACCAAAGCTGCTAACAACAACAACAACAAAACTTTTTTGTTTTTATTTTTACTAGCGGTAACTTACTTCTTAAAAGGATAGTACAATTTTTTTTAGGTGGAATACATTATTATAAATTGAACAGCCACTGTGTATAACTTTAGTCGTCTTTTTTAATGGAATTCATTGTCTTGGCATATTTAATTTCTTTTGGCCTCTGCTGTTAATTTTGGTGGTGGTGCTACCTGCTGTTGAGTTAGCTCCTGATTCATGGTGACCCTATGTACAGTGCAATGAAACACTGGCTGCTGTTGTGCCATCCCTATGATCGGTTACAGACTAGACTGTTGTTACTGGTAGTGTTTTTATTGGCTGATTTTTGTAAGTAGATCACGAGGTCTGCCTTCCCATTCTAGCTTAAGGATTTCTGAATTTGAATACCTGATCTCGGGCTTGTGTTCCAGTACATACAGACTTACGGACTAGTTCTGCCTGGATTGACATCTGCAGCTGGACCTCATTCCCCAAGTGTAACAGAAATAATCTGAGATCTGCCAACTTCCCCAGTATTTCTACAGTATTCCTATTCACTTACTCATGTAGCCAATAGATATTTATGAAGTCTCTGCTGTGCTAGGCTCTGTCCTGGCCTGCAGGCATAAGTCACACCTCCATCTGTAGTGGAATGTAGACATGTAAAGTGTTAAAATGTTGTTATGTGTTGTGGAGTCAGTTACGATGTATTGGAACCCTGTGTGTAGGAGAACAAAACGTTGCCTGGTCATGCTCCATCTCATAATCATTGCTGTGTTTGAGCCTATTGTTAAAACTTAACCACTGTGTCAGGAAAAGTTCTTTTTGGACTTCTGGTAAGATGGAGGAATAGGCAGACAAACTACACAGACCATCTTCAACAAAGAAAAGTAAAACCAATTGACAGTGATACAAAAAATAATCCTGGAGCCCTGAGCTTTGAAAGGAACTACACAGAAGTGGATTAGGCACCAACCAGTGGAAAAACCTGAACAAAAACAGTGAGTACAGAGAGATCAGAGCTGCAGACTGTCAGCTACTCTGACGGGACCAACAGCCTGAATATTTCCAAGTGGAAATATTCCTGAGAATTGACCTAAAGATCAGCCCTGGTCACCAAGGGCTGCAGGGACGACTGCGCTGGTGGTCTATGATTAGGAAGGGAAACAACAAGGAGGGAGATAACCTGAGCTGTTGACTTTCCACTGTCTGGAGGGGGCAGCCATTTTGATTGTTTATAAGTAGCAGCCATTTTGGATATTTAAAGCGACTGAGGGCGTAGGCATTTTGAATGTTTATAAGCAGCAGCCATTTTGGATATCTAATATGACCAAGGGTGCAATCATTTTGAATGTTTACTAGTGGTGGCTATTTTGGATATTTAAAATGACCAAGGGCGCAGCCATTTTGAATCTTTACAAGTGGCAACCACTTTGGATTTTAAAGTGATAGCATTCTAATTCAGATTCCAGGGACCTAAGAATAGGCTCTGTTTGCCAAGGTCAGCAGGAACATACAAGAGGCTGACAACAGGAAAGGAAATAGGTGGTGAGTACATAAGTGCTGTCAACTAGTGAATAGAGCACAGCACAGTACCTTGCTTGGGTAGATGACATACAAACAAAACAAAGAAAATGAAAATGTGGGCAAGTTACTCCAACATACAGTCACCAATTAAATATAAACACAAAAATGTCACAATACCTCGTAGACAACACAGCATACAGTCTACACAAAGAAGCAAGATAAAGCAAGAGAAACAAGGGACCAGGATCCAGACCCAAAACACATCCTTGAGGAAGACGCAGCATTGAAACTCCCTGATAAGGAATTCAAAAGAATTATATTTAGATCCGCCAGCCACTCCTTGGAAGGAAGGTTGGGCAATCTACTTCTGTAGTGATACTGCCTTGGCAACCCCAGGAGGGTCACCATGAATCTGGTCTGACTTGACAGCACATAACAACAGCATCTTCAACAAGTTGAGAGACAGATCAAGGAAAACACTGACAAAATTGAGGAAAACAGAAAACCATACAACAAATTTGAAAGACAATACAAGAACAAAATGACAAAATAAATGAAAAATTAGAAATGGTACAAAATCTACACACAGAAATCCAGTAGATTAATACTAAATTTTCAGAAATAGATAAGACATTGAATGGGCAGAGGAACAGAATTGAATCAATGGAAGACAGAATTAATGAGATAGAATGCAAATACCTGAACACTTCTTCGGAAAGGGATAAATCAGAAAAAAGATCAAAACAAAATGAAGAAAGCCTGAGGTTCATGTGGAATACCATCAAAAGGAATAACCTACATTTAACAGAATTCCAGAACAGGAAGAGAAAAATAAAACCACTGAGAAAATTGTCCAAGATTTGTTGGAAGAGAATTTTCCTGGTATGATGAAAGATGAGAATATATCCATTCAGGAAGTCTAATGAACTCCAAACAGGATAGACGCCAAAGAAAATCACCAAGACATGTCATCATCAAACTCATCAAAACCAAAGACAAAGAAAGAATCCTGAGAATAGCATGGGAAAAATGAAAAGTTACCTACAAGGGGCAACTAACAAGACTAAGCTCAGATTTCTCAGCAGAAACCATGCAGGTGAGAAGATAGTGGGATGGTATATGTGAAACCCTGAAAGAGAAAAATTTCCAACCAAGAATTATATACCCAGCAAAACTGTCCCTCAAATATGAGGGTGAAATAAGGACATTTCCAGATAAGCAGAAATTAAGGGAATTTGTTAAAACCAGACTGACCTTACAAGAAATGCTAAAGGGAGCCCTTTGGACAGAGAAGCAAGAACAGCTAACAACAATTGACCATTAACACACATGATGATATAACCCAGAAACCAACCCGGCTATGGAAGTGTCCAAAGTAAATAAGCCTACAAGATAGTAAACAGGGAACCAGAGACATCAAGTGACAAATGAGGACAACTATGAACCAAGATGAGGGGAAAAAACTGTTGTTACTGAACTTCTAGATGGTAGGGAAATCAAGATAACTATAAGGTGGAATGG